ACTCGAGCGTTTTGGACGCCATATCCTGTTACCATGGTACGCGTGACTCTTGCATGGGCCGCTTGGCTCACACTACGTGACGTCATCGGTGACACAACTCTTCGTTTCAAGAATCTGTGAGGTTGCAGAATGCAGACAGCATCGAACTGGTCACAAAAAGTGTTGTGCAAGATTTGAAACAGTCTGGCAGAGAATACTTGCTGATATTCGTGATGAGGACGAACGAGTAGTATTTTGCCCCTGGACCTTGCCTGATAATGTTAGCAGCATCTGCTCTACGAGCTGCTGCGTCTGCACGCTCCAGTGCCCTAAGAACTCATGTAATGGCGAACTTTGTTGTACATTTTCGAATGGTGGAATAATTGCCAATTCATCAGGACCAACTTTTGAATATTTCTGTACAGCGTTACTCAGGGACGAGGTTATTCCAGACAAATCGTCCTCGCCAATTCAAGGCTCCTAAAGGCAAGCTTTCACTTTGTTCCTGGTTATAAGGATGCTCCTGATATTTAAAAATAAATAAGGAAAATGAAGTCGCTCAACATGTATTCACGAACATGTGATGACTGCCTGTTGTGCTGAGAGTCTAGATCATGCCGGTGAGGTCCGAGGAAATATTCACACACATTCATATGCAAGACCATGACGGCTGGGCCTTGTTTTAGATTTGAGTTGTAAGGCGGTAGATCACAATTAGTTGGCCATCCTCCGTCTACACGTTACATCAAGAGTCCATAATCCCCCAGAGTGCTCAACTGGGATGGGGTTGTGGGACGGCGTTATCCGTGATGTCCGTCATTTTTTGGGTCGGACTTGCGTCATTCCATCAACGCTGTGCACCACGGTCCACACTTCCGCTACTCATGATGTCATACTATGACGTGCAACACGGATTTCGCCATCCCAGATCTGATAAGTGAAGTTGCGCACTCTGGGGGACTATGAATTATTGGTTACATTGCATGCAACCGTACTTCGGTGCTCAGCAGGCCTGTTAAAAATTTCCCTTGTGAATAACAGAGGTCTAGCCAGGATTTTATGCCAGCCGGCCAACGTTCTAGTTAAAATGCATCGTTCTGGGGGCTGCGCCCCCAGACCCCGCCGTCAGTCACGTATCCACACACACACACACACACACACCACTACAAATCTTTCATTGCAGCTTGCATCTCCTTTCGCTTCGTCCAATTATGGGCATTCATCAGGCAGTTGTGACAATGTGATTATATTTATAGGTAAATTAACAAAATATGAAAAAGGAAGCAAACAGCTACATGAGCATGGATCATGCAGTGTACATTGGTCATCTGACAAGACCCAGCCTAGCCACAGTCCTGTACACCACCAGAAGCAGCGAACCATGACCCAACCTGTTACATTTTACTGACGTACTCAAGTGCATACTCAAGTGCATTTGAGCTTCAGTGAAGAGCTAGCACTGAGCCTGAGTAGCCAGTGCTACGTACTGTACTGTACATACCTACGCCTACAGATATGGGTTATGGGTTGTACTCCACCATCTCCACTCAAGTGCTAGTGCAGTGCACCACAGTCTACATGGGGGTGACTGCAGCCAGAAAATTAACATAAATTACCCTTGGATCTGTCTCAGCCGGCAGGTCGCCCTCCCAGCTGAGCTTTGGCTAGATCACTGAACTCAATAAAATAGCGCCGGGCTCCGCATGGCCCTAGTACTACAGACGCTGTGCCCTGCGCTCACAGCTTTATTCATGGAGGTGAATTTTGCTGGTCAGGACTTACCAATACCACATACAATCGTGCTTTATGTTGAATATTGAAAGTGCTAGTTAACGGCTGGTTTTGCTATGTGCAGAAATCAGGTGATTTGTTCGTGTAAACATGGGTAGGCTGAGACCTAAATATAGTGCTTTCAAGCTTCCACTGTTTGAAACTATCATGTGGTCTATTGTGTTCCAAGGCCGGGTGGCACTGCTATATCAGCCCTTCAATGTGAGACTAGTAGTAGTACCCCTGTACAGTCACTGCTGCTCAATGCAATCGGATCGTGCGAATCTGCGCCATGCCTGCTCACTGTACAGCCCCAGACGTGTGAACACTGGACTGTGCACTGGTGCAGGGTGAATGCTTGACTCACTCGATCGGATTTTATTGAGCAGCACTTGAAGCATGCCGGGTAGGCTACGCCAGGCAATTCGCTCTGGAACCCGGTGTTGAAGATGGTACTTTCAAGTACAGTACACAAAGAGTGAGAAAGGTTTGTCCACTTGTGATGAGGCCATGTGGCCTAGCATTCTTTCCGTTGTGGACACCACAGCTGCAACCATGACAAGACGTTTGAGAGCTGTACAATCGTGTACATGTACATGTACAACCAGATTTCACTCTAGGCTAATACTAGTAATAGCGACAAGACGTTTGAGAGCTGTACAATCGTGTACATGTACATGTACAACCAGATTTCACTCTAGGCTAATAGCATAATTTTGCTTACCTTGTGTGTTGTTTCGTGCAGAGTTTGAGCATATCCGACGGACAGAGAATGGTGAGGCAGTTCATGCTGAAAAAGGCTATTTTTGTCATAAATCTGGTTTTGACAATTTTTCATTTTTAATATCAGGCTATATGATTGTACTGTATTGTCTTACATAATTGTCTTGGACATGAAAGTGTAATCAGACTAAGGAATGGAACAAGCTTCAGGCTCTTTATAAAAATGAACATTTCAAAGTTTTCACTTGCACTGTCATTGCCTTCTCTACAGGTGGATACAGACAGAAGAAGAAACTATCCAATACAATAGCATTCAGACAATGTATAGGTGATATGTGCACCAGTAGATCGATTGGCAAGAACAAACACAGAAAAATTTAGTAAAGTGATGATTCTCACGCACATATATGTAGAAATATAGCAGCTCCTACAGTCATGTAGTAGTGATGAACACGTGAAGAGGTGCGATCAGCGTGATATGTATTGTCTCTATTCAGATGGTTGTGTTTTCAATTCTGCCACATGTACGTGGTACGAGATTACTGCATGTTTTAGAAGCTGCCTATACTAGTATTCATGCAAGAAAACCTATCCTATGCAAGTAGAAACAGAACACATTCACACTCAGGCTGTTAAGTAGGACATCCACACGTCGTTAGTTCGGTTCATTTGTCGTCTAGTGTTATCCCTTGCATATCACACTGATCACTCCTTTTCCCACATCCATCACTAGTGCATAACCGTGGGAGTTGCTATGTTTCTATGTGCGTGAGAATCATCACGTTAGTCCTTTTTCTGTGTTAGCTGTCACCAACCTCCCTGCTGCTGTTTACACCACTTGCACGTTGTTTAAAGGCTAGTGTACTTGATTAGTTTCTTCTTCTTCTACCTGTCTCCTTATTGGTAATCAATTCAAGTGGGTCCCTGGCTGTTTGTCGTCAAGAGATTTTGACTGTAGCTCTTGCTTGTTTTGTTTCTTGTTATGTTAGTTGGTTACTGTAGAACGGGTAATTTTAGCGACTATTAATTTTAGCGTTTTCCCATTGTCAACCGGTTAGCGACGTTTTATTTTAGCGATTTGCAGCGATTTTACTCACGGATCACCAGTGCACTACTAATGTCTCAACGGATTAGCGACTTGAAACTTTAGCGAAAATGAGTCGATCGCTAAATTCGCTAGGGGTTTTACGTCGCTAAAATTACCCGTTTTACAGTACCATAGAGTTTAGTTTTTGCGTCGCAATGAATAGCTGTAATGTATACACTTTCGTGCCATGTCTGAATGCCCAGGCAAGAACGAGAAAAGCGAGAGCAAGGACTCGGGCGCCAAGGAAGAGCAGAAGGCCGGAGGCAGTCGCAAGAAGAGAGATGATGGCTTTCCTGGTGGCGGAGAGTTCTACAAACGTTTCAAGAAGCAATCACCGAACAAGGGCCAGTTTGAGTTCTCCTTTGACCTAAACCTAGACCCGCGGAAAAACCCTTGGATATATGGCTTAGCTGCACTCATTGCATTGGCGGGATACAGTATTTATGACTCGTATTCTTACAAGGAGATCACCTATCAAGATTTCTACAATTCCTATTTGAGCAAAAATCTGGTGAGTTTGGTGTGCACACTGTGTGTGCGTGTGTGTGGGGAGGGGGGGGGGGGGAGGAGCTAGGGACCAGAGAAGTCTGTTTCTTTGTAGACTTGTTCACTTTTCCTTGCTCTTTTGTTTTTCCTCGCTTATAGCTTCCCTGTTTTGTGTGGACATGTTCTGCAGGTGTCGCATGTGACTATTGTTGAAGGCAAATATGTACGCGTGGGCCTTATGTCTGGTTCATCGGTAAGTCTTGGGGTCATCGAGCATGTTCTACTGGCATTGTGGACAAGCAGACACTAGCGTTCTTTGTTTTTGACTTTGTTCTTTTATGTCTGTACCACGAAATGTGCCGATTCTAAAGTTTGAGCTGGCTGCTGTTCTGTCGCCCTCTTGCTTTTGTGGTGCGGATATGCTCTCTTCTCTCTCCTGCTCCTGGAACGCTAACATGATTTACTCTCTTTTTTCCTATCCTTCATGTACAAAGGAACGTGTATTCTTCAACATCGGCAGTGTGGAGGACTTTGAGAGAAAGCTCCGCGAAGCGCAGAAGCATCTCGGCATTGAGCTGCAAAATGAAGTTCCCATCGCCTACTCGGAAACAAACCCAGTTGTGTAAGGTTATGAGTGATCTGTGTCAGTGCGATGGTATTGTAATGCCTCTACAGATCTGTCGGGTTCCGAAGAACTGAGGAGTCAGCCTCGTAGCCAACTTCGTTCTTGTGTTCATGTTCTATGGTCTGTCTATGCACAGTTGAGTCACCGTGTATACATTGATATGCTGTGCTTGATGAAATTCTAGCCTGGCCGTTCTTCGGCTAACCGTTTTTCAGGACTCGACAGTACTGTAGATAGATGCAGGCCTTATGCTATGCTCATGTAATACTATACTTATTTTAGCATACTGTGCTGTCAAATGTGTGTTTCCTCTTCGGTTCCCTCCATGTATGCGCACTATCGAGTAAGGTCAAGATTGATTGGATTCCGAAAGCGCTGCTTTTTCTGTGCTGCAAGTTTGCTTCTGTGTGGGGAAGATACCAGTGTTATGTTCCCATCCGGAACTGCATGCCGATTGGTCACTCAAAGAGGGAACTTGCATGACATGCAACAGTTGTTCTATGACATTAGATCTATAGTAGTGTGCCTTATACTTCTATAACAGTACCCGCACTATATAACAGTGAACCGAAGTTGTATGTAGCTACATGCTTAGTGAATGCGTAGCGTTCCTGCCCGGGTAAAATTGTTTCCTTCTTTCCCTTGTTTTCTCTTTATTTAAACCTATGCAGGAAATTTTTCAAGACCAATCCTGTTATTCAGCAGGTGATCTTCTTTATCATTGCTGGTGTGGCATTCCGCTACTACATGCAGCGACGAGGTGGATCGGTACGGCTACTGACAAATGACTGATGGCAGATGATATGCGTGTGCGTGTGTGTGTGTGTGTGTGTGTGTGTGTGTGTGTGTGTGTGTGTGTGTGTGTGTGTGTGTGTGTATGCGTGGTGTGTGTGCGTGGTGTGTGTGAGTGCATGTGTGTTCTCTTGCAGTCCATTCCTCTTGCTTTGTGAAATCATGGAGGCATTGACTGTACGATCTGCCTTCCTTTTGCTTCCTGATGTGCCGAATTTTACATGTTTCACCTGCTGATTCTGCTGGTATTCCTTTGTTCCTGTGTGTGTTTGTGTGTGCGCGTGCGTGTATGTGTGTGTGTGTGTGTATGTGTGCGTGTGCACGTGTCTGTTTGTTTGTGTGTACAGACCATGGGTGGCCGTGGACTGCTAGGCGTCGGAAAGACCGACTTCCAGAGCAGTGCCAAGTCAGACGTGAAGTTCACCGACGTGGCTGGCGCAGAGGAGGCCAAGGTGGAAGTGATGGAGTTTGTCCAGTTCCTGAAGACTCCTGAGCATTACCACCGCCTTGGTGCCAAGATTCCTCGTGTAAGTACCACTCTACTAGGGGCATTCCGTTTTTTTTCCCACCTTTCATCTACTGAGTGCATTTGATTGACCACCGCCTGTGCGTATTAAGGGGGGGGCAATTGAAACTATGCAGAGTAGACAAACCGATGGAATGTGACATGATTGTAGTATTCTCCGACTGAATTATCCGTACTTATCAAAACAACATTTTGATAAGACTTAGTATTGCTCTCCTGAAAATGAGCATGACAGACTCGTGATAATTATGAACCTGCAATATCCACCCATTCATAATACTGTTGGTATTATGAATCTATAATACTGCTAGTATTTTGAATCCACCATGTACTGTACATACATTTCGAACGAAGTATTTGACAGTTGACGCCAACAGTAAGTGTTGTTGTATGTGGCGAAATCCCTTAGGGCAGATTCATTTACATGACTGTACCTGTAATTGATGTTAGATTAGCAGCAGTAATTCCCAGACAATGGCTGAGCTGTGTGTGTGCGTGTGCGTGTGTGTGTGTGTGCGTGCGTGTGTGTGTGTGTGCGTGCCTGTTTTTGTGCCTGTTTGTCCTGTCCATTGCAGGGTGCCATTCTGACTGGTCCACCGGGTACTGGTAAAACCTTGCTGGCCAAGGCTACCGCCGGCGAAGCCGGTGTGCCCTTCTTCAGCGTGTCCGGCTCGGACTTCGTAGAAGTCTTTGTAGGCGTTGGCTCCTCTCGTGTACGTCAGTGCTGCGTTGTACAGTAGTTTTCATTTTGATTTTGTCTGCCTTCTAGTCTGTGGTGCATTCTAACACATGGTTATGTACTTACTGGGTATGGTTTGTGCATGAGCGTACCGGTACTGGACTTTACTCTATCATTGGCTTGGTCATTTAGAGTATCACTGTCACTAGTACAATGTAGCATGACATCTTACACACCCACCACCGACACTGGTTTTGTATAGCGGTGTGCTTTTTCCTTCTCCTTCTGGCGATCATTATCTAGTATCACTATGCTGTGTGGGGGAAAGATTTCTCGAGTGGAAAACATCAGTTCTAATGCGCAAGAAAGACATTTTACATAAGCTGTGATGTTGTTCTTTTCGCTTTCCTCCTTTAGGTGCGCGACCTGTTTGCAAAGGCGCGCAAGGAAGCACCCTGCATTGTCTTCATTGATGAAATTGATGCGGTTGGTCGGAAAAGAGTGAGCGGCTTTGGTGGCAATGAGGAGCAGAGCAATACGTTAAACCAGCTTCTTGTCGAGATGGATGGTGAGTGCCATTACTACTGTATGGGTGCGAGGTGGAGTTGGGAGGGGTTGCAAAAATACATGCTGTGTATGTCTCTATGGGTGGCTATGCGAGTATATCTCGTGGTGTGTGAATGTAGTGTGTACACAGGGGCGTAGCAGCCGGTCCAGCTTAGGCCTGATCACTTTTTTGAATACAATGCCAAAAGTGCCCAGAATGCAGGATTTTGTACCCTATTTTCTAAAAAATTCCCGGCGGATACCCCCCCCCCCCTTTCCGGCCGAACCACCTCCAACGGCGGTGCTACGCGCCTGATACATGTATTGTATGTGATTCAGTTATTCAGTGTACTCAGTGGGTCCACACACTGATCTCTATTGTGAGTTGCCAGTATGACTGCAAGAGATTTCCTGCATTTCAGTGGCATTGATGGTTGATCTATCCTGTAACACTATCCCTGGCCGTAAATTCCTCCTTTCTATATTACCCCCTGCCCTGTTCATCCAGGTTTCACCTCCACATCCAACATAGTGGTGCTGGCAGGTACGAATCGTGTTGACGTCCTCGACGCGGCTCTACTGCGACCTGGGCGATTCGATCGCCAAATTGAGATTGCTCCTCCAGACATCAAAGGCCGGTAAGAGCGATGAAAGGAGAGAAAGGAAAGTGAGGTGGTTTGCCTGCCCTTGTTTGGTTTTTATTTTTTTATTTGTTTACTGTCTATGCTTGTGTACGTGTATTTTGAAAAACTGTATGCGTAAACGATCTTTGCAATGTGCTAGTGTTTACGGTGTGGCTGTTTTGCTTTCCACTGGTTAACTGCAGGCGTTCAATCTTTGAAGTCCATCTGAAGCCTATCAAGACGGATGTGGACAGGACCAAGCTGTCACGCCAGCTGGCGGCACATACACCCGGCTTCGCCGGTACGTATCGGTTCATGTTTGCTTTACCTAGTATGAAGCCTCCATCCCGCGTCGGCGATGGTGTATCGTGTCGGTAAATGGTGAACAAGCCTTTGCTTGCCACTCTCCTCCTCTAGGATAGTAAACCCTCTCGATTACCGTTTTGGCAATACTGGCCGAGGCGCTTAGTAGTTAGCAAGCCCTAAATTTTTCACCCAATCGGAAGAAAACGCACAGAAAGGTCCTGAAATGACGTGGGGTTTATTTCAGACAGGCGGCAATAAAAGACCAGCCTCTGTTTCAGAAAATACAGTATGGGTACTCAATCTTCGCACAGCTGGCTGTTCCGACCTTGTTAGGTCTCATCAGCGGAGCTCAGAGTGACGCAATTCTGGACACCGTGTGGAACGAACACACCTACCCTGTATTGGAATGTGTCCTGATTACAGACCTCATATACGCATATACTTTGATTGAGAACTCTCAGAGTAGTTGTACCCGAACAAAAATGTCCTGAATATGGGAGTGTCTGCTAACGTTGAGGAAGGCCTACTGTAGCTTTACTGTGAGCAAGAGCAGTACGAAGTATAAATTAAGTTATGTGTTTATTATCCCGACACCGTGTTGTTATGATCAACTTTGTCAGCGTAGAAGGAAGACATAATATGCTATGGTGCCAGAAATGGTGCCAGAAACTGTATCGGATTATGTACAGTACTGCAGAAACTGTATCGGATTATGTACAGTACTGCTCAATGCAATTTAAATGGCACATCGGGCGTTGTGCAGCCCAGACCTGCAAACACTGGGGTGTGAACTCGTGCAGGGTGCACACTTGATTCACGTGATTGGATTTCACTGAGCAGCACTGTACAGCACTGTACATGCAATTCTAATAATCGTACATTATGCTGGTACACGAAGCAGTTTTCCTCTTTTGTATGCTTGTGTTCTGCAGGTGCTGATATCGCCAATGTGTGCAACGAAGCAGCGCTGATTGCAGCCAGGCACAACGAGGACTCCGTGCTGGAGAAGCACTTCTTCCAGGCCATCGAGAGAGTAGTAGCCGGTAGGGATGTGTTGCTCATGATTTCATGTGCATATACATATTGATCTTCCATAAATGAGCCGTGATCAGCAAAAACAGACATAGGTCAAATTTTTCAAAATGGTTTTTTGCTGGAAATTGTTTGTTTGTATACAAGCAAACAATTTCCAGCAAAAAAAATCATTTTGAAAAATTTGACCTATAGGTCTGTTTTTGCTGATCACGGCTCAAATTATAATGATATTGGCAACAGGTTTTATCTTTGAGTAGGGGAATGGCTACCTGTATCTCATTTTACACAGTTGTCTAAGATCCTCAGGCGGCGGCTCTATGTCCAGTGTACAGATCTAGTAATACAGTACTCGTACCGGCAGAGAAAGACTTGGTTGTGGCATTGCTGTATGAGTATTGTATCTCATTTTACATATAAGTTAGGTGCCTCTCCAGCCTCTCGCTAACTATGCAGCTCTTTATCTTCCCAATCTGCCTTCTTCTGACAGGTCTGGAGAAGAAGTCGAGTGTATTGTCTCCTGAGGAGAAGAAGAAGGTTGCATACCACGAGGCTGGCCATGCTATCGTTGGCTGGTTTTCAGAGCACTGTAGCCCACTCCTCAAGGTCAGTCACGACCGTTCAATTATGATTGTGTGGCAGTGCTATCTGATCATTTGTAGGATTATGCTCCTGGGCTGTTCTAGTACTCTGTTCCAGTGTGCAGCCCAGTGTGTGCAGTACTGGGGCTACTCAGCACCCGGCACTAGCTTATTTGTGTGGCCACTGTTCATCACGCACAGCTATACATGTGCAGCATGCTTCTACAGAGCAGCTTCTCATTGAGCAGTATTTGAGCTGTACATGTGCATGCTTCTACAGAACAGCTTCTCATTGGGCTGTACTCCGCGCCACTTCAGTTCAGATGAAGTGTTCTACAGACAGAAGTACAAGTTCTTTGGGGATTGCTCTGAGCTTGCCATGACGTGGCTGGACTGATCACTGCGCATGGTGTGTTTCAGTATTGTTTTGAATCTCCTGATCAGGGCGATATTCCTCGCTTACTAGTACTAGTACTACATCTACGTGTGGTGTGTGCGGTCAATGAGACAAGACCATGGGTACAGTTGCAGCGAGAGAAATATGATGGAATGAATAAAGCAGAGCCGTGCTCACTGCAGGCCAGTGTACATGTAACTGTTACATACACAGTGCTCAGTCCGGCCACTGTTATTTCTATTCATGAAGCTGGGTTTCAGCTGGCATAACTGTACAAGCATTGCATGTACGTGTACAAGATCTTGCCTGTTATAGTGAAGTCCTTGTTTGTCCGTGTCCGTGTCCATGCAGGTGTCAATTATTCCACGCGGCAAGGCACTGGGCTATGCGATGTCCCTGCCAAAGGACCAGTATCTTGTCACAAAAGAACAGGTGAGTTTTTGAACAGGACCCATGGTCTGTGTCAAAACTCTCCTCTTTTTGCACTTCATACTGGCATGAATGTACTCTGGTTTAGTTGAACTTGCACTGATATTAATTTTGATCTTGTCACACCTAATGTTGTTTCAACTGATGTGTGTACTGAGCTGCCCACTCTTTCTTTGATTTCTTTCTAATTTCTTCGCAGATGTTTCAAATGATGTGCATGACGCTGGGTGGCCGCGCAGCTGAGGAAGTCTTCTTCGACGAGATCACCACCGGCGCAATGGACGATCTGCAGAAGGTCACGCGCAACGCCTACAGTCAGGTACTGACCCAGCAAGCATGTTTAGACATGCTTTTGCATGTGCATGACCCATGCCCCGTTGTGCCACTTGTGATGCTGCTGCTGCTGTTCCATATCCAATCCATATGCTTTACCTTCCTTCTCACACGCAATGTGCCGGGTGTTTCTCGATTGTCCCCTGTTTTCTGTTCTACTGTGTCTGTTGAGCAGATCGTGGAGCATGGCATGAACTCCAAGGTTGGCCAGGTTGCATTCAAGCTACCGCAGTCTAACGAGCTAATTGCCGACCGTCCGTACAGCGACGATACCGCTAAGATTATCGATCAGGAGGCGCGTAAGCTGATCGATCAGGCCTACGAGAAGACACTGGAGTTGATCCGCGAAAAGAAGGATGAGGTCACCAAGGTCAGGTTTTGTTCCTGCTGAGGGGATATCGTAATTTTTACCATTTAGTCTTCTATTCATCAGTTGATTTCTCATCACTTCAACACTTACGATGTGTTCGAGATTTCTCTAGCTTCTCAGAAATTTCTCCTGGAAGTCAAAGAAACTGAAATAATTTAGGAACAGATCTTGAAGAATTCAGAGATCATTTGCACATTTGCCAAAGGGGCCACAATCTTTAGAGACACGAATGTAGTATGACAAGTACAGGTGGAATCCTGATAATTCAAACCCCGAATTGCCAGGGAAAAACTTCTAATTATCCGGACATTCTGATCATCCAAACATGTGCCCACAACACAATATGTATGTCAAATGACATTGACACGTAGAGTTGCTCTACGCACCTTAGACACAGATTTTGTGCACACTGAACTGCCTGCGCATGCAAACCAAACTGATTTGCAGAAAGTAAAGTAAACTTCTAATAATCTTATTATGCTTTGCTAACTTCGAATTATCAGCACGAATCCCACACACGTTCTATGTAAGTGGATTCTGTCAATTTCTGTGGGACTTCTAATTAACCTGACATACCCAGTTCGAGGTTCGAATTATCAGAAATTGTTGTGTGGAAATCGTATTGATAGAAATCGGTCATATTCGAATTATCAGGATTCCACCTGTAGTATACACTAGTATTGCACTGTGCGTAGCAAAACAAAAAAAAACAAACAAAAACGCTCATGATCAACAAGTTGCTTTTAGCAGCAGTTCGCATGCGCTAACCCCAAAATACGGGACTCAAAGTTTCAACCACTGTTGAAGCTCTGAGAGCTTGGAGAGCCTGGGAGAATCTCCTAAAATCCAGAAAGGATATACCGAGAACAGTTGTCCAACTTTTCAGAGAGGATTGTAGAACGCCCCCTACAATGTCAGGATGTGGTTTATGGACTCTTTCGAAAGCGAAGGTCTTCGACACAATGAAAACATTGTATTTGCCTCCTCCCGGGATCCTGAACCCAGAGAGAAGTGAATCGGTAAGATGGGGCCATTCTCACAAAACCTCTTTGCCACCCTCTCTTTTCTTTCTCCCCTTGTCAAACGTTGTTGTGTATTCCCTATGGCCAGCTGGATAGCGCTTTATTTTCCCCTGTAGCTGTCTGAACTTGCTCTCTTGCTTTTTCATGGGACACTGAAGCAGATACTCTCATAGGTTAGTGGATGAGAGTTCGAACAAACCCTTATCATTCACGTCACGCAGCTGCATCGCCCGTGCCGTTGCTGTGACTGTACAAAATGTAAACCCCCTGCCTTTGTAGATATTGTGCTTTCTCCTATTCTCGTCCTCACTGCTGTATCCTTTCTGTCTGCACACAGGTCGCAGAGCATTTGCTGTCCAGGGAGGTACTCACTCGAGACGAGATGAGTGAGCTGATCGGCAAGCGACCCTTCACGGAAAAGACAACGTATGAGGCGTTCGTGGAAGGCACGGGCGAGGATGACGAGAAGAATGCGTCTCTGGAAGATGTCATGAAGTCCAAGGACGAGAAACCCGCCGAATCAGCCGACTCGGACAAGAAAGAGGCCAAGGAGGAAACTCCACCATCACCACCAACTGAGAAAGGTGCTTGAACACACTTCCTGCCCCGCTTCATTCATACCTGGAGTATTACCCATAGCCATGTATACTAGCTACCAGTACATACTTGCTTATGACGTTGCCTTCAACTTGTACATTCTTTAGACTTCGTTTTTATGGAGCCCACAGCGACTGGCTCTCCACACACATACCTCTACTTTTACTGCAAAGTGTACATAGACAAAATCTGCCCGTCCCTTGTACATGTATTGTTATGAATTCTGTTTTTATTCGCCACTATAATATCCGTGCACAATTGACGTGTTTGTGTTACAGTCTGCATGTTTGGGTGGTTGCTGTCCGTACTAGGAACTGATGTGCACATCTGCCATCAGAGCAACTCACCCCCTTCTTCCATGTGTTGTTACATCGTCTGAATGTTTGTTAGTGACAATTTCGAATGTTGAGAGACGTTAAGTCCCTTGTACATCAAACCGTTGCGGACGTGTGCTTGTAAACTAGCTTGGCATGGCAGAATGTTCTGCACTGCATGTATATGCACCCCTCTATTTCGTAGTGCTCTGGAGCTGGGTTGCCTGGTCGGATACTTTCAAAAACATAGTTAAACGTGACGTGTTCCGGGATCAAGGGCGGCCAGCGGTGCTGAAGCAAATGATATGCATGGCTTAGAATGTTTGTACACCAAACAACTACTTTCGTATTACAATGATTGTACCTTCTTACCTGCACCACAGTGGGACTCGCTTAGCATAGACAAGACAATATGCCTAGTATGGACTTTGTCTGGAGCATGTGTGTATTGATCCATACTGAGTAAATGTTGGGTGGAAGTCTGGGATGCGTTTCATTTCTCATTCCCATCGCTGCTTGTACGGGAATGAAGAAGGAATAAAATCACATGACATGATCATAAGCTTGCCTTCCATGCACACAATGTTAGCAATCAGGCTGAGAATATCATGTGCAAAAGATGACCTACACAGATGACGTGAACCGTACCAGACGGTGTCCTGGAATTATCACTATGTACAGCAGCAGCATACTCCAACACTGCATGCATGGCTAATGAATACATGCGGGTGAGTCCACCTACTAGTTTGTGAGTACATGTATGCAGGGTGCGGTCAGCAAGTGTGGTGATTCGGACGAGCGTCGAATGGTACATTGCACAAATTTACATTTAGAGTTGGATGAAACTTCAAGCATCTTTTCAATCAATGCAAAAATAAATGGCCAATAAATAAAAAATGGAATATTCCATACTGTCTGCAGTGCCACGCTGTAGTGCGTAAGGCAAAACTAGAGCAGTGCGGCGCTATCTGCTGCTTGTCCGACTTGTTGCCTTGGCCTGCTTTGCCTTGTCCCGTGCTACAGCGGCGATTCGATAATGCTGCTCGCGCTCTACCGGTGTGTGGCTGCGCTGCAAGTGCGACTTGAGATGGTCCGATCTCGAGCACTTCTTCGGACACTGCTCCCCGCCCTTGGTGACGTAGCACAGGAACGACTTCTCTCCCGTGTGCGTGCGGTTGTGTCTGCTGCGCTCGTCCGAACGGGCAAACCGCTTGTTGCAGCCGGGATGATGGCATTGGTACGGTCTCTCGCCAGTGTGAGTTCGAATGTGAGATGTCATATGGCTGTTCTTATCAAACGATATGTTGCAGCCCTGAAATTCAAGAGGAAAGTCCAATCAGATCTGCCACTGAAGCGAACATTCCACAACCAAAATGTAGTATGGTACCATACAGCTTGCTTGTCCCACCCAAACCTTCATTAATCTAGTTCAGTATTGCCATTAGTCGATGCCAAGGAGTCGTAGCGTCTTTAAGGAGACAACACAAGACGATGGTACCCAGAACAATGTGCGTCCCGACCCTGAATTTTGAACTTCGACATGATTTCGTGGTCCATGCAACACACATTCGCGATCCGCACAGCCTAGCTTGACCTGCACGGTTGCTAGCCAACTCTGTAGAACTAGCCAGACTCTTGGTCTGCAGGCCAGTGAATGCAGTGAATGCAGCACTTGCCAATTGCACTGGCAAGAGCTAAAGGGCACCGCCGTAGCACTAGTGGATCCTTGACTCTAACCCCGGCCCAGTAATAGCAAGAGTACATAACCCCCCAGAGTGTGCAACACCTGATCCAGCTCTGCATAGGGTTTTGGTCGAGCATAATCGGATCTTCTGATGTCATGCGTACGCTCCACACCAGTGCAAGGCCGGTCTCGAGGCAGGGCACCGTTATTTTTGATCCGAGAGTATCCGCGACTCCCCGGGTTCCCTTCAGATCTGTACGGTATTATGACGCAAAGATCCGATTACGCTCGGCCAAAACCCTATGCAGAGCTGGATCAGGCGTTGCACACTCTGGGGGCTATGTACTCTTGGTAATAGCCAGCTCCGGAGCCTAGTTGTAGTATTAGCCTCTCACAGAAAGGATGAGGCTGACATGCTCGACGGCCTGACAAAGCGGATGAGACTAGATTCTGTAATCCTGGTTCTATTAGATTTACAGTTACAATTACGAAGCATGTTTCCATTCCAGGGTTCTAGCCAGGTCAAAATAATAGGGGGGCAGGGAAAACAGTTACCCCGTAAGTTGCCGTAACCCATTTTTCCATTTTCAAAATAGCTGTCTTGCAATGTGAAATGCAACGTGCGGGGCGAACACCTGACTTCACCCCAGACAAAATGTGCCTTTGTGAACCCTCTAGTGCTGACTATCAACTGCATTTTCATTGAAGGGCATGAAAAACACAAAAATCGGAAAATGAGTAGGGGGGCGGCACTTTTTCGAAGGGGGGGGGGTGCTGCACCCCCCCCCCCCTTTGGCTAGAACCATGCATTCATTAATCATTATACGACATGAAGTTACATAGCGGCCGCGAGCTTAACACATATTGCAACTCACCTTATACGGACAGGAGAACCTCTTCCGAGGTGCGGCCACGGCAGTATGATGTCGATGATCTTGCTGTTCTTCTCCTGCATATTGCGTCTGTCCCAAGTGTTCTCCCGGGTTGGATGGAGAGCTAATGGACACACACACACCGCCAAATTGAACCTAGTCATCAAAATCAGAACTGGTACGCATGCAAGCCATAATAATTATAGCCGACACATGATTCGGTATTCGCTAGAGTTAGACTCGGATGGAGAGCCAAGGGTTAAGTATAGGAAGAACAAAGGGCCAACCAGGCACGTGCGCTGGTGCCCTTCAAGGGAGGGTTCCGGGGGCCTCCCCGAGAAAATTTTCAAAAAATGAAGCAAAATCATACATTTTGAGCGAAAGGGGGGGGGGGGTTCCGGGCACCCAGGAACCCATGCGGGGCACGCGCCTGCCAATGAACTACTAGTACATGAGCTGACTCAGTGTCAAGTAACTGGTGGTGTCAGTGGACATTATAGCGTAATTCGTAGTTCAGTGGTCCTTTGTTCTTCCTGTTTAATAGGTAGAGTATAATAATTATAATGCTACGATGTTTCACTGGCAGTGGCAGAACCAGGAGTAGTAACACAAATCCCTGCCTATGTAGGACGAGAGTACACGGTAACTGACACAATGTCATGCCACTCGAGTCACACCAAAACGGACGGATGTGTATCATGTGTTTGAAAGTCGAAACCCTACTGCACAAGGTAGATTGGCGATGCAGCTAGTAGGGAAGGGCGTTTCATCTGCACGCACTGTGAATATACTTGAAGTAGTATGGACTCTTGGACAAACCGGATCTGTCCTCATTCTAGAGGATGCATTTCTGCTTCAAGGTCTGTAGATCTACCAGGTAAAGGTAAACTTTGATGCTCAGTTGCTAATGTGCACTGTCTTGTTCAACATTGCCATTGCATTGGCCTCTCTTTTCCTCTGCTTGACTGCAGGTACAACATGTATTCTGGAGCGCTCAAACGACAACCGTCGTGGCTCGCCGAAGTATTCCCATGACTCATCGGACTCGCACGAGTCGTGAGAAGCAGTACTGAAGTACGTTGTTGGAATTTCCCACATAGCACATTCTTCTGCACTGCACTGCTAGCGTGCTGCAGTTGCGCTTAGGCCTTCCAAACTACCGCCCGCCACACAAGCAAACTCTCCCATCATTCATAGTGCACAAGCGGACTACACTCTCTCGACTCTGCAGACCTGGACAGCACTGAATATCCAAAATGGCCGCTCTACTATGCACCTACGCTTTGGCTTGTTTAGGTTTACTTTGCGGCAGCTACGATTTCACATTGCCAAAATAATTATTATGATTCCTCCTTTCCTTACGAACTGTGTTGCAACTTCGGCGTAGAAGAAGGTCACGGGCTGCTCCCAACGTTGGGTTTGGTCTTGGAGCGCGCGCTTCCATGACTGACACTTGTATAATTATTATTCTGTCATCATGACTGGCAAACGACTGCAGTCTGTTACTGCTGAACCGTCCATTCTGTAAAGCTGCAAAAGCCGTGACCACTTCCTGTTCACAGTGTTTCGGGGAATTCATCCCTATTATAAATCAGTTGAGCTTGAATAGGCTAGAAAAAAAGTTGTGCTCCAAGGCAAGAGCACTGCATTTTTGTACTTGTGCCAACTAGTAATTAGTTGCGGTGTGATCCGAGCCAAAAACATTTACTACAACGAATACTTGCAGTGACGCTCCGCTTCCGGCGCGACAGACACCTCGCGCGTGAACACCAGCAAGAGTTTATCAGTTATTCTACTCTTGACACCAGGCATCAGCGTGACTGATGATCAGGGTCACGCTCACACATGGAGTTGTGAACAAAGGCTTTTACGGTTTACATGGTCACACTTCAGGTGCTGTGGGCCGTCGCAACACTGTCACTTCCGATCATCCGCGCGGAGGTGGGCCGGGATGTTGCGACTTCTATTCGACGTACATATAGAAGAAGGTGGCTACTCCTAACATAATGCAGTGCTCTCGCTCGGAGTCATTTCATTACCCTACTCAAGCTGAACCCACGAACGTCTAAGGGGCGAACTCCCTTATGGTGGTTTCTTGCAGGTTTTCCGAGTGAACGGTCGGATATTCTTCTCGTGTGCTCCAGATGATAGTCGTGAGTCAGTCAAGTGTCAGCAAGAGTACCGTATTTGCCGCAGTATAACGCGCACCTGAGTATAATGCGCACCCCCTTTCTTGACCAACGTGTTTGGCAAGCCAAAGGTACCGGTACATGTACATGTATGTGCGTTTTGATATTCGGAGCATAGTGCGCACCTGCGATTTGGGACCGGAACTAGTGCATCTAAAGACGTATTAAAGTGCGCACTATACTCCAGCAAATACGGTACATACATGTAAGTTGAACATAACCCCCCCCCCGTGGGGTTACGGGTATGTACTCTTGGTGTCAGTCACTCAGTCAGTCGGTATGACGTGCAGCTCCAACGACGTAGCCAAGTCGTTAGGAGCCTAGCACTGACCTCCCGGTTCCTTGTCGGCCCGTGGCTTTCTACTGTCCCCGCCTCTTGTCACTTGTCTTGTATGATCGTCGCCGTTCCAAATTCGAACGTTCGTCGTGCAGATCAACACCACTGCACTACAGCCAGCGTTTGTCCCCGGACCCACCGGTAATGCGAGAGCGCGAAGGTCTCCCTTGACCTTGATCAGTTCTTGTAGATGACGGCCAGGGAATCAAAGTTTCTATTGACGAACATCTGCCCGTAGACAGTGATGTGATGCGGAAATAATTTCAGCTAAGCAATCATTGACATTTAGCACAATGGTAGCTAGGCCGTTGCGGATAATGCCGGCAGAAAAATTGGCAGAATTCGGTACTTTTTCTGGTAAGTTTCATGCATGTTTGGTATGTGGATAAAGAAATGGAGCAGAATTCGAGGAATTGCCCGCCATAAGGTTTGTATGGTTCTGCCAATTTCACTGCTTTTCGAGCAGAATCTGTCACCTTTTCGAGCAATACCCGCCAATGCCTAAATTGTAATGGTAGCTCTGTGCACCGGAGTAGTATTGTACTACTCGGGTTCTGTGCTTGGTTGGTGCATTCAGCAACCACCAAGCATCCACGGTGGTACCAACCCCGACCCTCCTTTATTTACTTGCAGAATGAAAAGTACAAAGCCTGAAGTTCAGAACCATACAGAACCATAATGCCCAGACAGAAGAACGAGTGCTTTATACATAATTGATTATACTTTATAGTCAGGGTACTCAGACAGAAGAACGAGCAGTTGCGGTTTCGTAACTCTGAGTTTCACGAACTAAATCAATCATCAGACGAAAATTGGTATAATGCCAATGAATCGTATCAAGAGTCCATAATCCCCCGCGATTATGGACTCTTGATCGTATGATGACGCCCCAATATCGTGACCATGGACCATGGTTACCTTACCTGGATGATGTAGCAGTACTAGCACTGTCGTATGACACGCTACCGGGTGTGGCCATTGGCATTGGCACTGCTCTCCTGGTCGACGCAGGACTGCCTCTGTCTGCATCACCGGCATGATCACGATGGAGGCCCGGACTGTGCAGCTGCAGACTGCGAGGATGCACACTGCCACTACTTGTAGGGTCCAGCTGAGACCGAGCAGTAGAAATCATTGACTGCGGGCCATCAGTGGCATCACCATGATTACGCAGAGGTCGAGGACAGTGATCGACCTGGTCGTTGGGGACCAGTAGACTCGGATACGACGGGTACGTGTGGATTTCACAAATTGGAGAACCTGACGTTGGGGACGCTTCTGCTGCTTCTGCTACAATCGCCAGGCTGCGCGCGGCCACACCTGGCGACGGAGCAGCGTAGTGACGACTGTGCGGCGGTGACTGAACACCGCTGGCAGTGATGTAGGACGTGGATGGGACACTGCTTACCCAGTACAGCGCTTCGTCCGTACACGCACCGGCGGCGGCTGCCACATCCATCAATACGAAGCCGGGCGTGGTGGCCGCTGGGCTGGGTCGAAACTAGATTAGGATTGTGCACAATGAAACCACATTTCAGGACAGCACATGGCACTGTTAATAGTCACGTTGATAGCCTGGTACCTCATCCTGAGGCATTGGACCGGGGTGAGCTGTGTTTTCCATCCATACGTATCCTTTCACAGGTTTTCAGAGACAGGTGCAATAAGTCACATCAAAAATTCTCTTCACCGCTTGGAATAGGTTCCATTTTTGTATGCAGAGAGTCGTTGGCATCTACACTGACAGTATGGTCATGCTTTTCCCATGTTGTCTATTGTTGTCTGCCTCAAACTAATGAGTGGTCATTCATGTTTACTTGTGGACAGGGTCTTATATTCCCCTACGAAGTCATGGTCTTTTTTCTTCATGTGAGGTATTCCCACTGCGAATTAGGTCTCATCTTAAGAAGCATGGTGGTAAATACACACATGGCAATATGGTGGTAAATACACGGCTGCCCACACACGCTCTCTAGGCTGAAGAGTTTTGGCACAGAGCTCTCCTTCTCACCGCCATCACCGTCAGTTCGCGCCTGGCGCCTAGTCGATGCATGGTTGGCGGTATCCGACGTAGCAAGCTGGTACATCAGGTAGTGCATGGCACATAGAAGATGACACAGCAACGACATAGCTCGATTGTGACGTACGTTTCGTCCCCGCTGGACTCATCTGGCAATCTTCTTCTTGGCCTGGATGTCTTCATACGGAGCTCGACTCGGGAGAATGAAGTTGAAGACACCACTGCAGCTGTACTTATGGTTGATTAATATGCTGGTAAAGTTTTACTCTTTTTTTTAAGACACACCTGGCAATATGGCGGTAAATACACGCCTGCCCACACCTATCAACACTGTTGATTCAACAGCCACATACAATGCAGCTGAAAAGCCATAGCGAGTAGATCTACAGAATTGTGTGTTGAGCTCCAACGTAGGGGGCACCACACAATTCCTCAATAAATTATTATCGACCACATGCTGACCAACAAAAGGTGTAGTTGATGTGTGGTCCAGGCCCTTTTTTATAAGCTACATGTACGCTCTATACTGAAGCTACGCCCTATAGGCTATACTCCTATAGTGAAACTGCAAGAAAGTATCTAAACGAAATCGTGGACTGTAGCGCATGTGAATGCCGGCGCTAGAACCTCTCTAATAACTGTATTTTCAACTTGACATACTGGATGTAGGCAGTGTACGTGTAAACCGTTATAAAGATGACTGTGATTTGGAAAGCTGAGTACACGCAGTTACTACATCGTACAATATTCAGGTGAGAACGAACCCAGGGCAAGGACAAACAAAATGCTCCTTCGACATTACCCTGGACACCTAGCCAGAAGCACTTGAAAAGTCCTAGACCCGTTTTGCAGTAACTGTTGGAGCTAGGGCATGTCAAGTACGTAGGGCATTGTGGAAACAATGTAGGCGCTTAGACCATGTCAGCACTTGTTAATATAATGTACATTGTATTGAACACTTCGAAGAACATTGTACATGGAGTTATTTTCACGCATGGGGGATCGTTCCTGGCGCGCCATTTATGGTGAATCCCTGGCTTGGCCCGGGTCGCCGCCCGGTTCTATTTTCAGCGAGGATCTTCGCAGATCAGACCCCAGCTCGCCTTGTCCTCAAGCCAGATCTACCACGCCTTGCTGCCAGTTTGCAATGCTGCATCTGCAGGATCACCGACATGATGTGCTTGCGTGCACGCTGCAGCAGTACACTGTATCCCAAGACGGCAAGAGCGACAATGGCTACTTCAACCAGTACAAATAGCACTTTACGAACACGCCGGTGAAGTCCAGTCACTTCACGTGGCAAATATAAAACGTTTGCGCGTTTTACGGCTTCGGAAGTGCTATCACCCATCAACCAGGAAACTGCGCTAGCTGCACATTCTATCGGTTAGGCGTTCACCATACACCGTGTAAATAGAGTGATTACAACGATATCTGCACTTTGACAGCATACAGGTTAGCGGTGACGCCCCATGCTTTTAAAGTCAAACTACTCAAAGCCTCAGTGGTCGCTTTAAATTTTGCTGACATCAGCCAAATGAGCACTGACAATAACGATAGCGTTAGACTTAGACTAGAGCTGAACATGCAGTGCATATCCAAACAAGAGTAAGTGCTACAATGTACATGTAGCTAGCAGCACAAAGCATTGGGGGAAACGGAGCAATTCCGTCAATGTTTCTCTGCCCCCACGCATCTCAATATGCGGGCTATCAAGAACAATGTACACACGATGGCAAGTCAACGTTTACAGCAGAGTAGACAATCATGCACACATGCGTGTAATATGTTCTACTTGAAGTAACTACTACTTTACAATGTGTGTACATTAGCTGTAACGAATCATCACCTCGATTTCTCTTGCCAAACGTCGAGCACCACCAGCACCACCAACATTCTGACCAACGCCAACATCATCATTAGTATGACTAGTCTGCAGTCCCGTGCGCGTTGCAATGCCATACACACTGCCAACAGCAGCCAGCTGCAGTGGTGCAGGCTGCAGTGTCGCCTGATGGTAATGAGGGACGGACACGGTTCCAAATCCCTGGGGAGCCACGGAGAGAGCAAGCGAGGAGGGAATTTCCCTTCGAGTCTGCACCATCGTCCTAGGAGTAGGAGGTACCTTACAAGCACTGAATGGATGATCCATCACACTACCCAATGACATGTATATCCCTCCGGCACTAGAAGAAGGAAGGAACAAAGTTGAAGATAGCCACGGTGGCATAAAGCGGTCTTTCCTCTCTCTTTCTATCTGTAGTGAACCGTCGCCTGAAAATAATTGTGATTGCTCCCTGGGCATGCCTGTTTGAAAACATCTTTATATCAAATGCCCATGAGTATGATGATTTAGTGGCTACGGGCGCATCGCCATCAGTGCATGTTTTAATCTTCGGTCACGTCCTTGTAGATACACATGCGCATGGCGTGTCACGAAATCGCGATTGATGCTTGCAGAATAATTCAGTAAGAAACACACAATTGTCCACCGCTAGTGGCACCGGTCTTGGATGGCTGGCATGGAACTAAACAGTGAGGCTTGGTTGCAGACTGTGCATGCAGCACTCCCCACTTGAGATGATTCTATTGGATAGGGACATGTGTGCACAGCACCCTTTTGTCGCTCACACACACACACACACACACACACACACACACACACACACACGCGCGCACATGTTGGGCAGCAAGCAGCGGTTGAAGCAATGCGTGTGGATGGTTAGGAGTCCATAACTGCATAAGACGCCCTTCCTGATCAATTCCCAGGCGTGCATGCCTTCACAAAGCAGGGTGTGTAAGGTGCGCCCGCCGGCAAGGACATGCAAGTCCCCGCACGAAACGCAGCCTGTGCCGCACCGACCTCAGACCTTTCTCTTGTCAGATGGGCACTTGCAAGATGGCGAAGCCAAAATGATTCTTGGTGCGAGCGTTTTGGAAAAACTTCTCCGTCGGTCGCGAGGAATGGTGACGACTTGTGGTACGTCGTGCTGCGCCATCCAGCGTTCTTCCGTGCCTCTGGCCGGCGAGGAGATTTCTCACAAACATTTCCGCATCAGCCTGCTAGCGAACAAAAGAATGGCATTCTGGGGCTAAAGGTACAGGTGAAGTTGAGTGAACGAGCTTCCTGCCGCCCCTCTGACGACTACAATGAGGACGCTCCAGTTCGGTAAGCCGATACTCTGACTGCCACATTCTCCTGATTGTGAGCCCTGGGGATTCCTTCCAGTGGTAACTCCCTATTTTTACCTGAAATCGTCGAGTGACATGTAATAGCGAGGCTTAGAAGCTAATGAAAGCGGCAAACCTCGCCTCCTACACAGCTGGGAGATATGTACATGTATGGCCACTGGCCACTGCAGCGCTGCAAGTATCCACCGTTGTAGGCTACAGAGTACGACAAATCGACCAAGACCAATAAAGCAATAATGGCTGAGCTTATTCATGTGCTGGGTACGAGGTCAGTGTGAACTGTGATAATGCTCACACCAAGCAACTCTTGAACGCCTTAGGCCTACCGACCTTTCCACTTCTCACCTAGTAGTGGCCTACTGTCTGCACTGAAGTATGTAGTACAGTGTGTTATAGTAGTACCTTCGCTTTGGCAATCAAGAGCAACAACCACGGACCACGCATGATGATATCATTGCATTATTCTTACGACGTAATAATTCCCACACTTCATCTATTTTATCACTCACTCACACACACACACACACACACACACACACACACACACACACACACACACACACACGTACACACATACACACACATACGCACACACACATGCCCAGTTTATTCATAGACATCATGTCATCATCTCACTGCCTACCCTAACGGAATTATTTCCACCGATCACAACAGGCCTTAGAACTAGAAGCCACTCTAATGCTTCCATTGCCATATCTAAGCACCGGACAACTGATGGAGTAAATTCTTTTTCTAATCATGCCGCAATTTTCTTTAATACACTACCTGCCGAGTGGCGCAGACACCACCGTACCTCTACATTTGCAAACCAACTCAGGGATCTTTTTAAAGACCCAGTGGCGTTTAAGAAGTATTTTGACCTTCTTTTTGGAATCTGTTGAGTTTCTCGATGATCTTGATAGTTCTTGTACTAAGATTGAAGTTGACTTGGTGTTTGATTACTGTACTGCTTGATGTCTGAATTCCAATTTTTTTTCTTCTTTTTTTCTTTTTTTTCTTTTCTTTTCCTTTCCTTTCCACTTAGGGGCCGTCCGTAAATATCGATGTTTTTTTAGAGACGATATTGGTGCTTCTCTCCCTTGACCCCCCTCCCTCCCCCCAGAAGACGCACATGTACATCTAGATCATGGAATCAATATTAATTTTTTGGATGCTCATGAAGTGCCCAGGATGTTGTCATGTTGAGGGTCCGGTGTAGGCGTGAAAATCCCGCCGCACTCACGCAATAGCTGCATCGCCTGGGGGGAGCGAACCGGGTTGGCGCTGCAGTGCAGTGCTCACAGCCACCGTGTACTGGTGTAGCCAAAGCGGCTACGCTCGGGCTTGAATTTTTTCAAATCCTTGTTCAGACAGTGAAAACTGGAAGCTCTTGTGGAGTTCGTCCGTGTTTGTTCGCACTGCCTCTACGTCTTGAAAAAGGTCTCCTGCAGGCATCGTTCGGCCGATTTCCACAATCAATAGCTCATTCTTTTGCGCTTGAAATTCGCCATGGGCGTACAGCTTCCAATTTTTGATTTTGTTCTTGTGTCGCGAGTTTTAGCTCCGCGAACGGAAGCTGGTTTCACATTTCTTGTATAGCCATTTAGACGTCCGCGTGCCGGGATCGGCGAAACTTCAGATATTTACATCGATATTTTTCTGATGCTCGAAAAGACGCACATGGCTCAAACCCCCTCCCCCCCAGACGCACCAATATCGTCTCTAAAAAAACATCGATATTTACGGACGGCCCCTTATCCCGTTATCGGCCCTCTTAAGAGTTGTGTGCACCACTGTTGAGGCATCCGATGGTAAATAAAATAAATACTACTACTACTACTACATACGCACACACCACGCACACCACACACACACACACATACACCACATACGCACACGCACATACGCGCACACACACACAAAACGCGCGCGCATACACACAGCAATCTAGAATACAACAACAACATGTCTTTGAACAGACAACAGACTGTATGACTGTGACGCCGAAACAGATTGTTCAATGTCCTCTACTTTATAATACTAGTGTCCTTGTTTCCTCTACTCTCGCCGCCTAAACATGATGTCACGAATCAACAAACATGGAAGCACCGGAATATTGGCCCCAGGGTTTGCTGTCTGCGATGCAATCTGATGCCAACAAAACCTTTTCCACAGAACTGACGCAGGTGTGCAACGAGTACATTTGGAATGTACATGTACTGGCAGGTGCAGAATAGAAGTCTGGTCGTGAAAGCACAGCCGGTCACAGGTGAGGTGACGGCAGCGGTCTAATACCAACGGGCAGCTTCCTCTCGCCTTGGGGCCTTGCCCACACCTCTAACACACAGGCGCAGCACATGTACGTTCTAGTTCCGCCCAGCTTCTTCATTAGAATTTCTCTGTGACGTTGTTCTGGACACTTTCCTGCCTGTTCTGAAACACACATGGTACTGGCAGAGACCTACATGTTACATGATAGACCCGGTATTCGCGGGTCTGCCTCCTTCGTCTAGCATGTAACCCATTATTTGTGGCCGGTGCTACACGTATGTTCTTAGGCAAACCAAACAGCATGGCCACTCAATGCACTCATAGTACCATGCGTTGTGCCTTGCAATCCAAGACAGAACACGAGTGCTAGTGACGAACAAAGTTCGCTGTGCTTCTTGAATGCAGTTTAGAGCCCTCTGACTTTGATGCTTTGAGCCTATCTAAAAGAGATGGTGTAGAGTCTTGGAAGGTACTAGATCATTGAAACCTTGTTTGTTCAAACATATTGTTGGTTGACAGCATGTATTACAAGCCTTGAAGGTAGAGGACACCGTGTTCGCCAACCTTGGATGGTTGTAGCCGGAAAGGTCATTGTTTCCGAACACGGTGTCCGAACACGGTGTCCGAACACGGTGTGCTCCACCTTGTTACAGTCTTGTAAGGTGTGGCTATGGGGGTTCCATGCCGGCAGTAGAGTGCATTGCTCGCCAAGTCTTGGGCAACTGAGTAGATGATTGTACTACCAAGAGTATAATTATACATGTACATGTACATGTACGCCCCGGGGCCGGGGCTTACATTTATGTACTCTTGGTATTACCCATCAAGAGGTAGCGCCTAGCGGTTGGGTGTACGAAGACCCCCCCCCCCCCCCCTGTATAGACCCCTGATTGTACTTGTACAATAGTCAGTACACTGTGCATGTGGCACACGTTGCACCTCTCAAAAATGGGAATTGCTTTAAAAATTGTTGGTTGTTAGCGTCACCATTTTTTAGGAACCATTTTGTGTCATACATGTGCGCTTAGCCGACACTGCATACATGTAGCAGTACTTTGTATTTGCGGTCATGTTGCAGTACTAAGTTATATTAACTATTTTGTGTTCATGTTGCAGTACTGCACCACAGCTTGCAGCCATGCAGCTCATTTCACCCACACTGCCCTGACTTCAACGGTTATTTCAGCAGCAGAACACATGTACGATAATTATTATACTCTGTGGTGGAGAGGATGGCTGAGCAGCCAGTGAGGAAAAGACTCAAAAGAGCGACCAAACGATTATGAACCATGAACTGAAAATGATCAACACCTAACAGGTCTGCTGGATAGCTGTCATCAAGGGAAATTCTGTATAAATCAAAGTACATGATGATAATTATACTGTAGCACGCAATCAGGAAGAAGAAAAAGGAAAAGAAAAGAAAGGACCTAGAGATTATGGCAATTGCGTGTGTATTATCTTTGTGCTATAAAAATTATGACTTCAAGTGACATGAGAAACGGTTTGTATGTTGCTAGTATAATTTGATGCTGTGGGGAGGGGGGGGGTACCTTATTGAATAGGATTATTTACTCGTTTGTCAACATTTTCAGCAATGACTGATTGGGTGTAAGACTTCACAATAATTATCCTAATCCACACAGCATGTTTGCCAGCAGAACGTAACCAAAGAGTGGCAGCCAGCCTATGCTTGTGGCATGCAATCAAAAAGAAGAAGTTCAAATGCAGCAGAATCCATGTGTTGACGAAGTGCTGCATGACGAAAGCTCAGGGATCAGCCGTGACGCTGTGTACATGGGGACTTGAGACTGTGCTAGTTGATTCCACATTCCACTGTCTTCCCTAGCCGATGGATGTGCTCTAGCGCCAATCGACAAGTAGTAAGTTACATTCCCGAGCAGCGGTGGTATTCAAAGCAATCTAAGTAACTGGTTCAGTTTCCTTTGACATTCATCGGCTGTGCTGTGTGACGGTCAGTGACACACGGCTATTGCTGGGTCGCCGGCGAGACAAGCGGCCGTGGCAGACAAGTGAACGATTGCCGGCGTACTGGTCATCATAGCCGTTGGCCTTTGGCACGTACGTCAGCCAGTTGGTGCTCGGCAGAAACTTGTACGTGAGCCGACTCCCAGACACCTGAGGTGAAGAGGAAAACAGTTTCACAGGCAATTATGCTTCAATCCAATACTGATCCGTGTGTTACAATGCTTTTCCAATATATACCGGCGTAGATAGCCCAACATCTTTCAGAATGTACAGTCATGCTAAACACCAACTGCCTTACAGCAGTGACTGTCTTGGGTATGAAAGAAGAGGTCAGGGTCATAAGCTAGGTCGTTCCTATTCTTCATGTACCACAGTGTGTCATATTCACCGCCTATACACCGGTATACTGTACAAGCACTTGGTGAAATCCTAGCCTGTTCGTTCTTTGGCACACCACTCTTTAGTACCCAGTGACCGTAAGATAAAGCCCGCACTTCTACCGGGTGGACCAGACACATCGGTGAGCGTGTGCGAAACAAGAAGGTAGCCACCCCTAGTAAGGCACTGAATATCTACAACCAACGCACATTGCAAATGCAGCCGTGCTAACCTTGTCAATGAGTTTGGAGTAGTAGTAGCGCATCGCTCTGGACATCTTGTCGTAGTTCATGGTCTTCTTGTTGCGATGCAGGCCCCAGAGCATCGCCACCACCTCCGAGTCCAACAAGCAAAACACGCCGTTTGGCCGGTCTTTCCACAGGATGATCTTGCTGTATACACCTGGCTCGGCCAGCAACTCAAGCAGGTACTCCCATAGGTTGATTCCTGCTGAAAGAGCAACATGATGCAATGCACAGCAGTGAAGAAGTTACCGTGAGAGACTGCACAGCGGCCAGTTGTAGTACTCACTGGTGTCACGTTCCCATGGGGCCCTTTGCAAGCTGTGAGGTGCTGTAGAGCGTACTGCAACCCGGCAAAATGTATTGTGCTCACATTGAACAAGTATGGGAACTTCCTTGTGTGTGAATGCATGCACACATAGTGACACAGGCATACACTGAACCAAGCCAGTGATTTGCAAGACAAGAAAGCTCTAACCGAATTGTTTCCACAATCTGGCTTGGGTTTACGAGCCAACCATGCAACTGCTGATGTTGTCATTGGAACTTGCACAACGGTTTATAGCGAAATTGTTTCATCAGACACCAGGTGTACACAGCTGGTAACAAGGTTTAAGGAGAGGGCATTCATGGCGAAGGTGTGCCACTAGAACAGAAATAGAACCATGCTTCAATGTAAGACCATGCAGCATTAGTAGAACACACACCTGATGCCTCGGGGAAGGTTAGAGACGGCGGCAGAGGTGTTCGCTGACGTGGCTTCCGGTGTCGCTGCTTCTTCACAGCTGCTCACAAGTCACAAGATCACCATGTGCACACATACAAACAGTTTAAAATAAATTTAAATTATCGTCCAATACTGTCTGTACTCGTACAAACAAAGAACTTGCGGCCGTTCGCTCACTACTGCTGATGTGATGGATCGGTCCTGTTGCTATGGACCCCCCCCCCTCCCATTCTCCCTACACCCCTCAGCTGAGGTCATAATGAACGCAGACCAAGAACAATGATACATTTCAGTACAACAACAATTTTCTGCCGAGCAGCATGTAACTCACGATAGTATTCTGGCGATAGCTTGGGAGAATTCATGCTGCTGTCCGCCACAGACAGTGGGCATTCGGACGCCGGAGACAGCACAAGTTCACCAGGTGGACTGCATGCCTGGTCTGTAGTCGGAGAAGCAGATGACTCGAGCGACTCATAATCTGCACAAGAAGACAGGTAGACACACCAAATGAACACCAATGGTTGACAAGACATCACGCACTGTACGTTTGGAGCTCAAGCTGCACTAGTTTGGTGGCAGACTACCTTCATGTCATGCACGATCTCTGTGCCAGGCATAGGATAATCTGGATGAAGTTTAAGTCATAGCCCACTGACATGGACCTGCACGCCACAGCACATGAGCAGTGTATTGCCACTCATACCCAAGTTTTAGTACAAACCAGCTAAAACCAGGCCATTCTGAGCACCTACACTTCCGCCAAGGTCATACACCATCAAACCTCACAGAATATCAGTGTGCTCATCCAATATATTCAACAATAGGATACACAGCAGCTGGCACATCACACCATCCATAGGGGCAAGGAAACGTCGTGTTGTTGCAGAAAAGAGAGCAACACTGCAGGATCTCCATAGGTCCTGGCGCTTACCTGAGTCTGACACGCTGCTGGTTTCCCTCGGTTGACTGGTCGGCGTCAGCGGTGGTTGAACCGCATGACTACATGACGACATGTTGTCCGGGGACCAAAGCATCATGGCCGCCGCACTGCCGCTCATGGGACTGGACCGCGGGGAGAACTGGCCGCAGAGGGTGTCCGCGCTGCTGGCATCGCTCATCACAGGTGAGGCGGGCGAGGGCAGTGACGCCGGACACGTGTCCAGCAGCATCGAATCTGGACTGGAGATACCCGCGCTGAACTGAATATCACAGTCGCTGGTGGAGTGCGTTTCAAGCTCGTCCTGCTGGCTGAAATCTGTAAAACAGAAGACCAGTACAGCACCACCGGTTGGCCTCATCCATATGTAAGTCAGTCGAGAACACAGCCGCTTGCCTACACAAAGAATGCAACTCACTTGTTTGTACAATGGGAAGAGGAAGCGCCGAACCAGCAGCTGTGACATTCAATTATCAAAGGCATCGGAATTGCTTGAGGAACATGCAGTGCCAGACACGCCACTCCACTGGCTGCATGTGTGCCACCTCGGATGCCATGTTTCAGGTGTATGATGACATGTCAGGTAGCGAGTGTGGCAAGCAAGTGCATACACATTGGCACTGTGCAGGGCATACAGCACCTGCTGACATTCCCACATGTGTTCTCGCACCTGTTGCAAGCTGGCTGCCAGCTTCCGCGGAAAGGCCTTCGCCGTCGTCGTCATCATCACCGATCTGCTCCAGGACCGGATGCAGACTGGACTGGAAGGTCGGCGGACGATGTGATCGACGATCAATGCCTTTGGCAGCCGAACTACATGTACTTGCGACGGGGTGAGCCACTTGTAATTGATGCCACACGTCGAGTAGGTTGCAGCCTAACGCCTCTGCAAACACAATAAACGACATACCATACACGCCAACGGATAAGCCTAAATTGGAGTCTAGATTCGAGAACAAAATAATCACGTCGTTCTTGCGACTGGGCAGGAATCGAGGATATTGGCAATTCAAGCGAAATCGATGTTCAGTAGGTCTGCAATGGATTGGAGTGTCACGAAAACGTGGGCCATCAAGCAATTAGTGTCAGCTCATTCCATGCTGATCACAAATTCCACGGCTCACTTCCTTGATGCAGAAGGGAAAGTGCACAGAGATATGCAAACTGACCCAACAGACTGATCAACTCAGACAGAACTACAAATCATCAATGCTAATTACTAGTAATTAGTAATTATTCGGCAAAATTACAAATCGCTCATGCCAATGAAACGTTGTAGGCCATGCCCTGCAGCAGACAGCAATCCACATGCAGCTTGATCTTGGTGGCACAATCCGACTAATCATACGCAAACACCTATCAACCATATCTTCATCTACTCACGCGCATGACCGAAGGTCTGTAGTTGGTTCAGGAAGCTCTCAAAGACAGCAGGTGCAGAGTAGCCCCAGCGAGAAAAGTAGCTGGCGAAGGACATATCGCTCAGCTCTGCTCCACTCAGGCGCTCATTCTTCATTGCCACGAAATTCCTATCAACACAAGAGCATAGCAAATCCTTATGTGTGTGTGTGTGTGTGTGTGTGTGTGTGTGTGTGTGTGTGTGTGTGTGTGTGTGTGTGTGTGTGTGTGTGTGTGTAAGTGTTTGTTTGCGTGGTTGTGTTACAAGTGCATACCCTCATTGTGCAGGCGTGGGCAGGAAAAGTACTTTAGCAGCTTCGTGACATTGTGCAGTGCAGTCCACGGTGAAGTTAGAGCAGTGAAGTAACTAACTTAGTTGCCCTTGTCATTTTTATGTATTTGGCCCGGATTACCCAGGGGATAGTCTAGCCCAGTGGATGGGATCTCCTACTCAGAAAATATTTCACGTGAATGGGAAAGAGTGAAGCAAGCCATTGTCATAGCCACCTGTCACTGTCCACTTGTGATGAAGATACATTGTACAATATGCCTGGTATGCACCCTACTAAGTACTACTATAGTAGTAGTGTGCATATGGGAGATCTGCAGCAGTGCAGGTTGGCACTCATTCAACAATCAGCTTAGAGCTTCCTAAGTCCTTCTGATCTTGGGTGATAAGTGTTCTGCTGAAAAAATCGATATCGCTCAAGTAATAGTTATTGATTGCCGCTGACACAGTGCATCTGGAAGAGTCTAGACACAGTACATCTGGATCTTGGAAGACATGGGAATAATGGGATGACTGCCCATACCAGACAAACAAGCCCCGTGCCCGCGGAACACACCCTTGTTACAGTACCGTGGCTGTGCAACACGTCATAGGGAATCTGTGTATTTTACTTTTTAGAGAGAGAACTCACCATTGGTAGAATTCCAGGTCGGCTTGGCGAGTCTGAGTGATGCTGCCACTGGCAAACACTTTTCTGCTCAGCCACAGGGCCACGGTGGAGCAGTCCCATTTCAGCGGGTCCAGTAGCTCGTACAGCGGCGCCTGTCCACCAGGCCACACTGATGACCCTGCAACACGCCACACAAACACGAGAAAGCAAACGGTGCCGACTGGTCGTCAGGACATGTCACCATCAGTCGTGTCATCACAGGAAGTAAAGATAAACTCGCTAGTTATGTAACACACCCAAGGCCGATTGGGCACAAAACACAGCAGAATGTTTGCCTACGGCGTGTGCCGTGAACCGCCCCAGAAGATCTACACCTTCCCGGCCACATACAGCCCTCGAGGAGAATGAAATCAGGAAAGCGATAGATCGCCAAAATGCCATAACAAGAGGCACTCGAGGCGGAGGAAATCTGGCACCTCGCATTGACAGCACGCCTTGTCAATGAATCAAAGTCGTACATCGATCCTTCACTTCAGCCAGGAACCTGTGGGTCATGATCGCCAATGACTTTGAAGTTATGTAGACGTCTACAAAATTTCCAGTCACACGAATGAGAAGTCTTGCATTTCACAAACACTAGTGCCCACAAGGGAAAACAAACTCACGGCATGATGACAGCTGTTCCAGGGGCAGGGGCGATGAAGAAAAGGATCTCGCCAGGGATGAGTCAAACAAAGTCGGTTCGTGTGCCGCGACGTCGCTCGTCTCCTCGTCGAACATCAACGACCAGAAAACGCCGTCGTCCGAAGTACAACTGATGTTGGATGTCGGACTCGGCGTGGAGGACGCATGACAGACCAGCGAGTCGCAACGGGCATGACGATTCACAGCCGCATTGGCGGTGGCCGTGGGCCGAGTGGGTGGCGGATGCGGTGTCGTGTACAGCGCCGAAGTGACTTCTGCTGCACCTTCGGTCGACAGGACCAGTGGTAGTGGCAGTGCCCCATGGCTCGGGCCGTTTGTGCAGGAAACCAGCGACTGATGTTGGTAGTGCTGCTGCTGCTTCAAGTCACAGAAGTGAGGTGACATTTCCTTGAACAAGGGCATTGTGAGTGTGGCCATGATGCGCGTCAGATGATAATCACTGACAGCAGGAAGACTAGGTGAACGTTGTTTCGGCGGACTTTCTTTTCCCTTCTTGACACAGGCTGTACCCGATTGCAAGTGAAACGCGACATTGCCGTTTCTGATTTTTGAGTGGAAATTCACAGGAACACAGCGGCAGCACGGAACGGGTGAGGGTAGAGGTAGATCTTCGACTCGACGGCATCAGTGCAGTCAGTGCATGTCACCAAGGCCAGGGTCAGGGGGTCAGGGATAGGCAGTGGTGTGTGTTAGGCTAGGCCGAAGTAGGCCGCTACGCTTCTAGTCGCTCGCACCAGCTGCACAACAGAAGCACTACCGTTGTATCGCTAGCTCGACGCTCGTCGAGTGTTTCTAATTCTTCCACATCCATTCCTAGCTGCGACCAGCAGCGATGTGATGTCGAACAACAACTCTTTTCTCGGGTAATCCATCCCGTGACTGGATTTCCAGGGAAGGCACGCGAGGTCTGTCTCGTGAGGCGATCTGACATGCGCTTGCCAAGGCCAATGCAGGGCATACCAGTCAGCCCTGGGCAAAGAAGTGCATGCGCGTACATCTCCCATGACCATGTCCACACCACACTACAGTCTACCATGGTCTACAGGCACTACACATGACGTCCACAGCTAGTGCAAGTGGATGCTGTCCCGAGCTTGGGCCAGACTGTAGTCTGCAGAAGTGACATTCAAGTGTAGATCCAGTCCGATCCGCATCATCTGGCGTTCAGTCGAGTCCTGCAGCGCTCTGACCACGAGAAAAGACTTGGACTTGGAGTTTGAGCTGGACATGTGTCACGGACTTGTGTTCCGGTCACCGCACACCTGACGAGTGACGGTCGATGTGAACTCGACTGCCACACTCAGCGCCTGGTCTAGCTGAACTGAAGTAACAGTTAGCGACTGAAGGTGCCCGATGTTTGACTCTTTTCTTTGGGGCTTGACCCTGGCCTAGGTGCAGCTCGGGGTAGCTTTTCTTAGCCAGCGTGCCCCTGGCTTGGCCGTTGGCCACAAAGCACATAATTACATGGGCATAGTAAAACAGTGGACGCCATGCCGCCAGCTTGAACAGACCACTAAGGGCAGGGACGATTCCACAAGACATCGAGCCTGTCGCGAGAAGGCCATAGCAGTGACTCATGATTTTGAGCTCGGTCGCAGACTCGCAGACACGGAATTAGAAAAAAAGAAGGCGGACCGTGTAGCCAACACAACACGGGCCTCAGGCTTCGGCCGCTCCAGAGCATTATGGTTTACACCCAGGATGTTCGCCTAAAAGGCTAAAATGATATATCCGTACCATGTCGATGTTCCCCTGCCCTGGTGCCAATTAGATGTTGGCCATTGCGACTGCTCGGAATAGTTTCGTTTTCTTGCTTGTTTCGTAAGCACCGAGTGGGCGCAGTGAGCAGTAGCAAGCAGCTACACGTACAACGATTCCAACCCAGAAGTGCCAGAAATGCTCCAACACAACACCATGCAACGCGCTGGCGATCCGACTCGGTCTGACCAGAATATGGACTTTATTAGGACACAAACGAAAGCAAGAGCATGACGGAGAGAATCGGAACGACTAAACATTAGAACAACTCAGTAGTAGACGTACACCATGGCCAGGCTAAACATGGGATCAATGGGTGGGTTGCACAATAACTGTGAGGGGATTTGGTGGCACATGTACATGTAGATCTGAGCGATCTCAATCTATCCGTTTCTTCCACCGAAATGGAGGCATGATTTAATTTGAAACCAGTCTGATAAATTTCTCTGTGCCGGTGATCTGTCTCTGGAGGGAAATGAAACAGAATGAAAAACCGGCCCGTAAGTCAGAGTTCTCGTGTAAGTTCAAGTCTTAGTCGAGAACGAAGCCCAGCTAATTATTATTTGGGGGCAGACGGCTGACTTATCGTGTTGAAGTTCGTGCCAATAAGTTAATTATCACTATGTAACGTTATTAGAAAGCAAGACTGTCATGGGATTTTGTGTCACAAGCTACATGACTTTGTTGTTTCCAAAAGTGCTGGATTCCGCGACGGCAGAGCCAAATAACAAAGTGTTCAATGGAACAAGGTTAACATTAGATTTGTGTCATACATGCATTGTATTCGCTCGGGCAAGTGGGAAAGGAATCTGATTGCTCCCTCCCAATCCCATCGGTAAATGTAGCAAGGGCATAAAGTACACAGTAAACGCTGTATTACTTTACTCTACATCTGTACTTCTACCTGGGTTCTACTCCTCCACCATGATGGCAATAATTAATTGTGTTTTGTTTGCCCGTAAAGTGGCTTCAACACAGTAAACGCTATCGTGCAAGGCGATAACACTAACAGACATGACAGAACACCACAACAGATACTCTACAGGACAATCATACTGCACTTCGCGCTGAAGCTAGAGCCTGAAGAGAGGCAACACGAACGCAGGACATGACACAACGAAACAGAGATACTATGATTTGTAGTACTCTGCTTCGATGTGTAAAAAACCCAATGTCACGGCCAAACAAAACACGGAACGTCGGAAAGAAAGGTGACAATTGAATCGCTGAACGTGACTGTCATGTCCAATGTTAGTACAGTATAGTGAACGAGGGCTCGTTACACTCCAGTCTCCAGTGAAGGTCCTGGGAGTGGCGATATTCACGATCGTATTCGGGAGGGGCAATCAGGGCGACTAAATTATTTAACCTGACAAAACCGCGGGATGGTGTTTCACAGCATCCAGCGTCCATGGTTCTCTGCATAGTCCCGCGCTTGCGGCCTTGCTCCCAAATCGCTTACAGATGGAGAGAAATACTCACAACTATTTATATCTTGTCCATTAGGCGGTATCTATCCTTACTGCATAGGGGTTAACTAATACTTGTGCTTTCGATTGCTCCCATTCGTGACTTGTGAGCGTTTTTCACGGTCACAGTGTTCGGATCAAGATGTCAGCCCCATCAGCCCCATCAGCTAGGTCAAAACCAACAACTACTTAGTAGCTTTATACAGTTTGAGAACAACAGTATCACAATGGCCCAGCTGACCTTGTGCATGCTGAAACTTTGCACTTGCATGCACATAGTCATTGGCATAATGTAGATGGTGTGCTTAGGCAAGTACACTGTACATGTACTTTGAAGTGGTAAATGAGGCTGCCGTAAGATGATCTCAGAGGCCTGTTTTGTTGACGGGATCTGGAGGCCTAGTGAGATCTTATCACGAAACTACTAGTAGGATGATTTGTACAAGTGTGTGATGGCATAATTATGTGGAGATGTCGACCAAGATGGCGGCTAGATCTAGGGCGGCTAATGCCTGCATGTGTACCGTCCGTACTGCACAATCATGTCCTTGTCCTTTCCCAACACATGATGTATAACGTGGCATCGACATAATAATTGTGCCTGACCTGTCCATTCTGCCATGTGCTCGCAGTGTTGGCATGGGTCTCTTGGAATGTTGATGTCGCGGTTGACGCGCGTCGAAGGGCCCTTTTCCCAGGAAACCCAGTGTTTGACCAAGCAACAAGTAATTCGGCAGAGTGCAAAGGCTGGTCGCGAAAAAATCGACAATGCACGTAGGGCAATGCATGTTGTCAGATAGAGTCTCAAATACTGTGTGCAGCGGTGATGGGCTATTTCCAGATTACTGGACGGCGCGTGGTAGTCATGGGTCCCTGAGACGGTGGTACCCCACAGTATGGGTGGTCATTTCATTTGAAGCGCGAACAAATCTGGCGGACGCAAATCCCAAAGGCAAACGATGGAAGAACGTGCGAGGAGCTACTGGTCGTTATTTCTCGATAGTTTGTAGTCCTACTGTCTGAGTCGATTACGAAGTATGTTGTGAATTGAGCCATTTGAGGCTCATGTACATGCATTTTAAGACCACCTCTGATGGTCTTTCCTTGCTATTCCGCACCCTGGCACGGCCACAAGTGGAACTTTCCTGACAGTTGCGGAGCAAAAGTAGCCTGGCTGCATGACAGCCATGACGGTTGCAGTCATCTTCCTTGTCAAGGCTCGGGCGTGGACATGATCTCTCTTCTCCATGGTCCAGCTTGTTAGTATGGTACCGTACCAAGGGATGCACTGGCTAGCTAGTACAGTACTCAGTAGTAGCGTGTGTGGCTGAGTGTTTGTCATACCATGCCATGTGCTTGAACTGTTTGCAAAACCTTGAAATTATCCTGGAAGTTTGAGGCGTATTGTTGGCTTCTGTGCGGCATCTGCATCATCACTGAAGGACTGAGAATGTATTGGCTGCCCTGTTTTCTGAATACAGTAGTTCCATGCCCGTGTGTGAGTTGTCCATTCCAACCATACGTTGTGGCTTGATCAACAACCAGCGCCTTATTGAAGCTTAATTGGCGGCGCCTGGGCACATACACTCACAGATAGACTACTAACATGTAGATGACACGATTGCTTGCCCTCAACAGCCTCATTGCAGTCCAAACTCTCTCAGAATGAGTTCAGGCTGCTGGATAAGCTGCGTGAGCGTTCCTCCCTACATGAATCTGCTCACCCGGACACTGAGCCAGCATTGTGGCTATCCTATGTAGTCTAGCCCTTGCAATTCCATGTTCCAATGCGTTCTTCTTTCCGCAATCTCATCTACAATCGCTTGCACGACAGACTTGCCTGGCAGCAAACGAAGACTGGGATCGATTTCGGTCTTCCGTGTGGTAAGTCAATATCCTAATTGCTTCGATGGTGCAAAGGACATTTTCCGTTTATATTAGATTACGGTGACGATGATTTCCCGCTAGAAATGTGAATGGAAGGCAGGAATGGAAGGAAGGGATACAGCCATGTACATTTATGATGGAGTTTGCAACATGGTAACCTGATACATGTACGTCGATTTGCAATAGTCAAATATGTGTACGCTCTTCCCAGGATCCGGGAGGTTTCCCTGCCCTAAACAAAGTGAATAATTTATGTCCTTCGATTTTCTCCAGCCGTTTTGATGACCGATGTGGCTCCGCCTAGCTGGGACAAGTGCTCGGATATGACCCTGGTGGTACGGTTGTCTGTGGATTTATCTTGTTCGGTTTACAATTCCTCACGCGGACACTGAGAACTGGCCACTTGCCCGATCGAGATCCGTAGCAAGAATACATGTACATGTACTTCAGTATTAAAAGAGTTTGCAATGAATTACATTTGCTGGATTGAAATGACGTTTTCATTTCCTGCAAAGCTTCATGGTGCGTTTAGTCTGATTGGTTTGTGATTCGATCCGCCGCTTGGGCTTCCCGAGGCCTACGCACGCCTGAAGGCACATCATTGATGAAATTTCCGACCCAGAACCATAGGACAGTGGTGAGTGTGAGTTGTTGGGGAGCATAGTTCCTGTGCCTTGAATTCGAGATGTGCAATCATGAAACAGA